GCGGGCCTTTTCAAAAGGCAATTAACGGGGAAAAAATAAAAATCTACGTACGTAGCCCACCCGTTAAAAATTGGAATTTCCGTTGCGAGGAAAATTCGAAAAAAAAAGAAAAAAGGAATGAGATTTAAATAGAAGAAATATTATATTGCATAGCCCAAGATCCAATTAATCCTTCCGGCGGATCTGAAAAAAAAAAAGAAAAAGAACAGAGGAAAGTTTTGACGATTAGGATTACGTGGGTGCCTCGAATTATAACATGCATCATAGAATTGCAAAGTCGTAGTTTCAAGCTCAATTCTAACTTGAGTACGCAGATATTTTTCCACTACCAATGCAAACTCTTGTTCCTTCTTATTGTGCAATTACGGAAAGTATATTCCAACTCCTAAGTTACAAGCATTAGAAACGTAATTGCAACTTGCAAAACGATATGTGGATATGGGTGACCGAAGTAATGTGCTGTTTGCAGACGTGAAATTCATGTGATAGATTTGATCATGGTGTGAAGAAGTATATAATCATTTTCCTTGAGGTTACATATTATTATTAATATTTGTAATGGGCATTTTATTTTCTATTTTTTCGGCGCGCAAAACCATCACATGTCTCTGTTCCTATTCAACTCCTCTGTCTACGCATTGTGAATTGCAGAAACAAAGTGATGTTTTAACTCCCTCAGCTACCTTGATTAAAGCAATGGACCACAGCTAATTAATTAATTACAGCATAAAAAATGTAACTTGACAAATTAGGCACATCAATAATCCTTCTAAATCACTGTGGTGACCAGTATACAGTCAAGTTTTTGCTAGACTTGAGCTGGCACACGTTAGGCTAACCTGACCACAAATCTACAGGAATTTTATTACAGTCAATCCGTAGAGTTGCGGTTAGCTTGATGCATTTAGTCTTTGCATTTCTAGACTGCCGTAGCGTATGTAATACCAGAAAGCTCTACTCTGGAAGTCGAATTTCATGCATGCGTATTGTTTTGACAAAAACATATGATGTGCCCAGCCTAGTTTGCGTACTGGATCGCATCCATAGAACAATGAAACAGAGAAATTTCAAGGTCAGATGCCAAATTATTGCGGCATATTAAACTTTTCTACATTAGCTATGTGTATAGTCAGTCGCTTGGGCCGCCCTCAAAGTAGTCTATGGACAGTCAAGAAGGGGCAGAAATAGTGAAATCTCTTCATTGGTGGATTCTTAAATGGTCTTAAGACTTCTCCGTAGTTGTATCAGAAACTTGATTTAAGGTCGCTATACAGTTGCAAAACTGGCAATGAAATTTCGGACCTCCTGTAAAAATGTTGTAGACCCATCATAACTCATCTAGAAATTTGAGAAGAAATTCAAACAACCTAAATTCTAACACGCGTTAACTCATAAATTCCATGAGCCGCTGATTGTAATGAGCAGACAGTTTTGCTGTAAACCGCAATGGAATGAGGTACATAAAATCCTAGGTCGTTTAAAGTCCAATGAATTGACTGGCTCCGCTGCCATCAGTAAAGCTTTTTGTTTAATCCAAGCTAGATCAGTCGCATCATGAATTGGCTCTTCCATTTCAAGAGTTCGTGTTTTCACTTTCCTGAAACCCCGACACATTAAACTGATCAAAACGCAAGTCAAGAGTCATGTCACTAACAGGAAGAATTTTTATAATACTATTATTATATATGTGTGGTATAACCGCATAATCCAACTAAGGAAAGTCCCTATGCACTTGCTACTGTTTACTTTGATCTCGTAAATACAGAGATAGATAGAGACATACATGTAGATACTGAAAATTTTTCCTTTTGTGAAAATTGGGGTTCTAGAAAAATTAGTAAGTATTCCCTGGTTTAAAGCTGGGATCCCTGTCATAAATCTCAGGAAAAAAAAAAAATCTGAGATTGCCTCTTTTGTAATTACCAGTTCGAACGCCAAAGTTTACTCGTCTTTTCAGGTTTTATAATTAGAGTATTTGTCACAAAAATTATCTCAACTTAAAATTTTAAAAATTTAAATTTAAGTAGTTGAATGAGATCTTATGGATGATTTTATATTACTCTTATTTAAATCTATAAGAAAAAAAAACAAATTTATAATTATTTAATTATTGAAACTCGAATATCATTTTAAAAAAATTATTTCAACTCAAAAAATTTAAGATGTTAGATAAAACTCTAGAAAAGATTTTATATTACTATCTAACATAATTTTCAACCCAACTTATACATACTGAAGATTATTTTATTTTTCTAATTCAGTTAAAAATGTTAATTTACGAAGATTGATGTGCATAAAGCTTACGAGTATAAGATGCCATATAGAGCCGATACGGTGGTGCATAGGGCCGTTAGATTTTTTTTTTTATAAAACTCATTTTTTTTTGTAACTCACACATCCAAAGCTCTTAACGAACTAATCTGTTAGGATTTAAACTCATGACCTCTTGTTGCAAGAGACTACGACCACTCGTGCTACAAGCTTTTGATCTTATAACCCTAATTCTCTACACTATAAATAAAAGTAACATTACTTGTATTTTTAACCATCGCTTGACAAAACCTAATAAAAATTGTAATCCAATCGTGAAGTAGATACTATTATTGAACCAAGTAAATTTTTTCTGTTGTATGATTATTTCTGTATTTCTATTTTATCTTTTTATTTGATTTGTTTCCTAAAAAAATAAAAATAACCAGACTACTAACGTAATGTTTAAACCCAAGTAACTAACTGGTGAAAGCTGGTACACTCCTCTAACTAATCAAAGTAAAAAACCGCTGTATTAAGGTACAAACTATCAGCCTCCCCATGATCCATGCGTAGTTCTGGTACTTGTAATTTTCATATCCCATCAGTGAAACACATTAATTGAATAGATAGCCCTTTTTTCGATTGAAAATGAATGCTAGGTTATGAAAAATAAGAATCAAATGCTCCAATAATCAAATACTAGTGATTCTGATAAACATGTGCACGACATACAATATTTTTAGAGCCGTAGTATCTTTAACTTTGACAGAATAATGAAGATATTAATTGATCATTCTACCACTTGAGAAATTAAAAGAAAAAATTGAGCTGCTAGATGTTTTGAATATTGACTTTTGCGATATAATGGATATTTCTCCTAATTTTCTTTCACAGGAAATGCAATTAAGGAACATTAGTTCCTTATTGATTCTCCTGATATTGGATCCACACACCAAAATGCTTCAAAAATACCAACTTTAGCATGCTTGAAGGAGTAACATGCTAATTTAATTCTCTATTTTTGCAATTTTTTTTTCGTTCCGTAGTTAGAAGATCTGGGTAAATTCAACCCATCTCACCACTTCGTCGATCAGTTACAGAAAAACAACGACATTGGTGAAGTCTGTGACTTCTAGTTAGTCCTTTTCTTAATGATTACAGATTCATTTTCTTTCTGAAACTAAGCAGTTAGAAGTTCTTAATTAATCATATATACATCCATAGGGAACTAAATATTGTTCCAATCAAACCATGCAAGCATCGACAATTGATAAAATAATAATGATAAATCATTATATTATTGGTAAATTCAACTCACCATCATTCGGTTATAGAAAAACAAGGAAATCAGTGAGGTTTATGATCACTTCTAATTAGTCTTTTCTTAATGATTACAGATTCATTTTCTTTCTGGAAGTAAGCACTTAGAAGTTCTCAATCACACATCCATACGGAACTAAATAGTCTTCCAACCAAACCAAGCATGCATCGACTATTGATAAAATAATAGTGATAAATCATTATTAGCAAATTGGTTTGTTGGAGGTTTACCAAATTTTGAGTTCCAAAATTCCTGAACTTAACTGCAACTTGGAGAGATTGTATACCATCACGTTACGCTTCCGATTCTAATTGGTAGTGCTTAGGGGTGTCAATTGTAAATAAATTAGATTACATATTTTATTTCTCAATTCTAACATATTTATATCAGATTTGTAAATTTATATTCTCTTTTTATTTAACTCACATATTCAATGTTTTTAGCATAATTAAGATTTGAATCTGTAATCTATTGTATATAAGCAAGAGGCCACTGGCCTATCAATTAGATAGAAACTCATTGGTTCAACCAAATATTTAAGTGTGCATTTATGTAAAGAAAATATCTTATGATAATCTTTAATATAATCTCTATAACTAAGAGTAAATAAACTCTAAACCTTAACCCAATATTATGTTTATATATTTTTTCCTAATATCTACACTTTTATGCTTTTAAAACAATAATTCATTTTTTCACATACATGTATAAACTAATATTTCATAAATTTCATATATGGTTATTATTGGACTATATAAAAATAAACTCATATATATTTAACCCATTACTATATGAGGAAATAAATTAGGATTAGAATAGAAAATGATCTATAAATAAAAATATTGTGTATGAAATTCATTTAATTGCGTCATAAAAGGGTTGGATCTAGATCAAAATTAAGCTCATAAATAGCCTTGATTAAAGATATTTATCTCAATATACTCTATCTTAATAAATCACTTAGAGATCATCAACCATTTGATTAATGAGCTTATTTGAGGATCTCAAGACATAATTTTATTAATATTGTTATTATTATTTTGAGTTTGAATTAAAAAAAAAAACTGTGAGAAAGAAACCAGAAAAAGATTTAACATTGGTGTTCCAGTGCTAACATGAGCATATTAATTAAGACTAAGACAAGAAAAGAAAAATTCATGGCCAATATAGGCCCAATTGCAAACCTCAATATACATGGACTTGATGTGGCCCAGATTAACTATATAACCTAGGCCGTCATATAAGCCTATTGGGCTACCACTCGAAACCTTATCTGAAACGACGCCGCAGATACCACACTTAACATGAAAGCGGCGACCCGGCCATCCAGGGAAGGCCATCTGCCAATTGCCAGGGATAAAATCACACAAAACACTTACCAGTCTCAAAACCTCCTGTTTGGCAGCTGAGAAAGTGAAGAGAGAAAATGAGCGGACCTTCTAAGAAAGTAGTGGATGTGGCATTTAAAGCATCGAGAACCATTGATTGGGATGGGATGGCTAAGCTTTTAGTCTCCGATGAGGCCCGCAAAGAGTTCGCCACTCTTCGTCGCGCTTTCAACGAAGTTAACTCCCAACTCGAGACTAAGTTCAGCCTGGTCATCCCTCTCTCTCTATCTTTCTTGATCTCTTATCTATTTGGATTTTGTGCCTGTTTTTATAATTGTCATTTCTAGATATGGAAATCTGGTTAACTGTATTAGATTTGATTTGCTTTTTTTTTTTTTTTTTTAATTATATAGTGAGGGATTTTGTATTTGTTTTGATCTTTTTTTTTTTAATGGTGGATTGGTGATTTTTAATTTTATGTGTTTTTGCTTTTTGATTAGGGATTTGTTATGGATTTAGGAAATGGGCCTGTTTTGTATTGAATTTACTTTTTTACCACTAAAATTATAATGGGAAATTAGCGATTGACCTGCACTGGTAATGTATGATTGTATCGAGGATAATTTAGTGTTGGGTTTGGAGGAAAATTAAAGCACTTGCCCAAAAAAAGGAATTATTTTGTGCTAATGCTTGCGGTTGTAAATTTTTGGTAATTCATGCTGCATTTCACTCAATTCTGTCTCCAATAGCAGTAATAACCTAGCAATAGTTCATGCTTTGAGTGAGATTAGTGCTTGTCTTTTAGGAGTGACCTTGTATTTCCGAAGGCAACTCCGTGAAAGTTGTACTTGCTGTCCTTACTGGTGGGTTTTAGCTTTCTAGTTACTCGTGCTAGTGATTGTAAATGTTGTTTTATGATTGTTAATTAATCGTTTTGCTGTGCAGGAACCTGAACCCATAGACTGGGAATATTATAGAAAAGGAATTGGCTCTCGTTTGGTGGACATGTACAAACAGGAATACGAAAGTATGTTTCATTATTCATTCACAAATGTGACTCTCATGTCTTTTGGTTTATCTGATTTACTCTATATTATAACTGCTGCCTTATGCTGATTGATACTTGTTTACTTTATGTTGTTGTCACTTGCTGGTGTCAATGATGTTGCTGGAAGTTAACTGTTCAAGTTTTCCTACCCCAGCACCCTGTATTTGATAAATAATTCAGCTTGGGATATTGTTGATATAAAGTTATTTATAATTGCTAGCAATTATCTGCTTTAGGTTGATTAAAAATGCCTCCTTTAGATGATTGGATGTTTATGGAACTGCATTATTGACTTACCTAGATATAGCGCTTAGCAATTATATGTGGAAACTGGAAAGCTTTGACGTTAGATTCATATGCTGGATGCTTGCCAACCTTTTGGACTTTTAAGTGCTAGCAGCATTTGTATCTTCTTTTCAACAGTGTAGTGCGGAAAGACATATTGTCTCTGCTCTAGGCCTCACTGTTCTAATTGCTTGTTAGTAGTTGAACTTGAGAAACACTTGATAGATGAGCTTCCCTGCCATCAGGATCTAAAACAATTTTCCAAAGTTGAATTTGAGCATAACATTTGTGAATGACAGGTTAACTCTCTGTTTGATCTTCTCATTTAAATTCATATTAAGAGGTTTCTTTAGATGGTATGATGAAAGCTATCCAATGTAATGTTACCATTCTCCCCCTTACAAGCTATATTGAAAACTCATCTACTGTTTCTGAATTTACTTATGATTCAATCCAATTGAAGGCTGAAATTCCTTATTGATATGCTCTCAAGCTCCTTTAGGGGACCCTTGTAACTCTCCCGTGTTCCTCGCAGTTCAAAGGTCCTTTTGCTTTCTGTTTGTTTATCTCTTTCTAAATTTAAGTACTTTGTTTTTGTTCTATGCTTCACGCACTGACCTTGAGGCTTCATTTTGTTTGCTATGTGTTACATACCATTGTTCAGTTGATTCCTTAAGTTTTGTTAGGTTGTCCCTTGTTTTGTACCAACTTCTTTCCCTGGCATGGGTTTTCCCAATGCAGGACATGACGCTTAGATCTATATTTTAGTTTCCTTAAAGCACATCTTAGTTCTTGGGGTTTGGGTGAACTGTTTGATACATACAATGGAGTGTGCTGGCCGGTGCTTTAATCACCTTAGGTTTGGTCCACACTGTGTTTGGTATGGCCTCATTGGGCTAACTAGGGTTTTTTTGCTCGTATTTAATTTAAAGTATAAAGTAAGTGTACCTAGAATCATAGCTCTGTTGGGTGATATTGGGCCTTCTCAACCCCAAAAGCTAGTTCAAGGAGTGAGGATTTCCCTCACACTTATAACCAAGCACCCAGCCCTTTCCACAATCGATGTGGGATAACCTAACAATCTCCCTCTTCACACATCAGGTCCTAAATTGGCTATTTATCATCAATTTGTGTGGCACCGGCACATAGGGAATTGTTTAACTTGGGCTTCACTTCTAGTATTGGGTGCCATTGGGCCTTCTCAACCCCAAAAGCTAGCTCGAGGAGTGAGGCTTTCCTCACATTTATAACCAAGCACCTAGCCTCTTCTACAACCGATGTGAGATAACCTAACAAGCTCTGCTGTCTTATTGGATCTTATATGTGCATGACAGGAAAATATTTTTTTTTATTCCTTATAATGTCTGGTTACTAAAATGGAGCCACTTTCTATCAGAATACTGATTTGAGCCAATTTTCTATATTCTTTTGCAGGTATACAGATCCCCAAGTATGAAGACAAAGTGACTCCAGAATACAGGCCTAAATTTGATCAATTGGTGCGAGCCAATAGTGCAATTTGGATTGTTATAGTAGTTTTTAAAACTTGTCTCTTGCATCCACCCCTCCTTCCCTCTCTCTCATTGTATATATTTCCATTTGGTTTGCAGTTGGTGGAATTGAAAGAAGCAGAGCAACAATCCCTGAAGGAGTCTGAGCGATTGGATAAAGAAATTGCTGAGGTTCAAGAATTGAAGGTGAATGGAAATGGATACTTATCTTTTAATTTTATTCTTGCCCAGCTTATGATTTTTAACATCTAGTCATCAATTTGAGCAGAAAAAAATCAGCACCATGACTGCAGATGAGTACTTCGAGAAGCATCCTGAGCTGAAGAAAAAGTTTGATGACGAAATCCGTAATGACTATTGGGGTTATTGATCACATTAGCTGATTTTGGCTCCAAGCCTCAGCAACCCTGAAATTCTGAACTTGTGGTGTTTTCATTGTTCCTTTTACAATAATAATTGCTACTAGGTTGCTCCCTGTTTGTAGAATTTGGCCTTCAACAATGTCCATTTCAAGTGCTAAACTTAATTTGGCAAGCAGGTTGGGATTTACAAGGCAATGTGCCTATTTTGATCAGCATCAATTGTCATTGTTCTCTCCTTGTTCCCATTTTGACTTCATTTACAAGGCGCTGTTCATACCTTGTTGAGAGCAAGACTTTTGTTTTACCAACGCTGGTGGAAACAAGAGAACTCTATCTGTAGCTCGTGTATGAACTTTTGAGGTTAATAAACATACTTATGTTGATGACAGTTTTTGGGTAGCGTTCACCAGGGTCGTTTGTTTTTGCTTTTCCTTTTCCAAACGAGATTGCGATCCACATTCCTGGTTGGGGTCCCGAACTTCAATGTTGATGGGGGTGGAATCCTAATTTCTGTTGGCGTAAACTATTGGTAGATTCTCTCTCTTGAAGTCTATTTGAAGATAAAATGATTAAAAAATTCCTCGTCCCTGCTTTTCTCAAATTTGTCTTGGTTGAGTTTTTATCCAAGTGATAGTTGCCAGCAAATCAGTCAGTAACTTAAAATGTTTATGTGTGTAAATAATTTTTTTATTTCTCTCTCTTCCTCTGTCCATGGTTGCCTCTTTCTCTCCCCTTCGCGCGCCTCGTTTACCACTAAAATCATTCATGGTTGGGGATGACAATCTGCTGAGTATAAAGTGAATATTTATTTTGGCTGATTCAATAAATATTTAATGAATAAAAAAAATGATTAAAAATATCTATTGAGTATTAAAATAAATAAAAAAGAAAAAATATATATATTGATATAATTTTAGGGTACAAATACTTACTTTTTAACATATTAATAACTATTATTTTTCTTTATTAACATATAGGAATTTAATTGCATAAATTTAAAAATTAAGGATTAAATAATTTTTTTTCAAAAATTTAATGACAAAAAAACTTATAAAGAAATGATCAAAATATCAAAAATCAAATTGTAAAGATCAAAAACTTTTTTTAAAATTATAAGAATTAAAATGAATGATTTAGATAAATTATTTTTAATGATATTAAATGAATACTAAATAGACAGATAAACTAGCATAAGTTGATGATTTTTTAATTGGTAATAGATATAATATTTTTTTATAAATAGAATAAAAAATTAAATTAATAAATCGGTTATTTTGCTATCTCCATCGCCATCCATATACTTGGCTACCACGTAAAATATTCAATTTCCATTGTTGCATAGAACATAAAATTCAGCATTTGAACTTCCATTATAAAATTACATCCATTTGAATCCAAAGTTGACAGATCCCCGAAACTTTAAAAGACCCGATTGAAGTGAAACCAGTTATCCAAATTTCATAAATTGAGCATCCAATATTAGAACAAGCAATATTATACTTTATGAAATCATGAGTACCTAGAGATTACTAATCACCAAACATCAAGAAAACCTGATAAATACGAAGGACGATTTATTGACAGTCGGGGAGGACGGAGGAGGTGTAACGGGGTGGTAGCCATGGAGGAGAGAGAAGAAGAACAAGAAAAGGCCAAAAAAAAAAAAAAAAATAGATTTAGACATGTGTCGGTATTTTAGGTCGGTTATTAGTTGATTTATTAGCGACCATAGGTTTAGTCAAATAACGAACTAAGACGAATTTGAAAGTAGATAGCAAACATTAAAACAAACAAAAGCCGAATGAAAAAACCAAATATAAAATCAAGAATAATAATAAAAAAATGCATAGAAGCTTTTAATAAAGATAATGTTAAGACTCCCTTGAGACTCCTCAGAGTTTTTCTAAAAGTTGAAGATTATTGACAGTGAGATTTAAATTTAACCGGCACGTAACAAAGAAATTTCTCAAAAATATATGTTAAAAAAAAAGATTTTTGCGGTCCATAAAAAATATTCTTTAAAATTACCATTGAGATATGAATTTTTTCTCTTTAAAATTCTTTATAACTCTTTTATAATGATTGTTTTTTCCTTACATTTTACTTCCGTTCATATACCAATTTTAACACTGGATTTCATGTAATTGGAAAAAGAACAACTACGTGCAGGAATAATTAAAATTCTTCACGTATTTAATTGTATATAAAATGTTTTAAGATTTAGAGCAATTTTTTGATACTTTGTGTTTATAAAAACTAATAGCTATAAAAACCTCAATTTAACACAAATTTCTAACCATCAAAACATTGGCTTAATTGTGTTTATGTCAGTGTTAATGGTGTTTATGTCCGTTACCATATTGTCCTCGACGAAGCATTTGATGCAACATGAATTTTGGAATTTTAATTTGTTATGTTTTTTTATCACTACATTAACTTAATTGTTTTGCGTTTATCTTTGTTGCTAAAAATCCATCATGGTTAAAAAGTAAAAAAATAAAAACTGATAGAAGGGAAGCCAACGTGGATAGACATTGAAATAGCACAGTATGTAGCGAATAATTCACAAGAGTCTCAAAACCCATGTCCAGGTGTCCTCCTTTCTCCTACTGTGTCCTTACGTCAGTTTTTATGCATTTTTTTTATCGTTCATTATCCAAATAAACAAAAAAACAAGAAAAACAAACAACAAATAGGTTATCAGTGTTCATATTCATTTCCCAATATCAGAACCCAAAACAATAATAATAAAAACAAAAACCAAACCAGAGGCCTATTCTTCTTCTTCTTCCTCTGCCACCAAATCTCCCTCTTTTTTTTTTCGTTCTTTTAAAAAATAAATCTACTCTTTTATAGCACTTTATATTATCTCTAAAAGTCTCTCGATTTTCTCTCTCTCACAAAAAAAACTGAACTTTCACTGTATATTAAAACAGCCTCTAATTTCCAATCTTTTATTAATCAAGAAAGGAAAGAAAGAAGAGGCAAAAATGGACACAACACCACCGCATCAGTCCGTACAGTAAGGGTCTTGCAATTTCAGATTCAGATACGCATTAAGGTCGCTTCTATTGATCTCACAGCAATCTGGTTCAGTTCACTTTGCATTTACTGCACCTAGTTCTCCCTTTTTATTCAATTTTGTGCTTTTCTGGGTACAATTTTATTTCATTTTTTGTTGAGATTTGAATTGGTAAGGTGCATATAAGAACTGGGAGAGTAAGAAGATTGAATATTTGTAATTGGGGAGTTGTAATTTTGGAGTAATGGTGTCTACAAATGATCCAATGGAGTCTTTTATGAATTCAATTCAAGTGGTCAAAGATGCACTTTCACCGCTTGAACTTGGCTTTCGGAAAGCTGCTAAAGATCTTGAAACTTGTTGGGGGGTTTCAAAGAATGATGATAAGGCAACCCATGGTTTAGTCGCTAATAACAGTAGTAAAGTTTCAATCTTTACAGTGAAAAAGAAGAGTTTTAGTCTTGGAAATGGTGAAAATAGGCAGTGTGTGGTTAGTGAAGAGAAAAGGAAAGGACTTTTATCCATTAAGATTCCTATCAGGAGTTTGTTGGGGATGTTTTCGATGAATTTGGAAAATGGGCATAGAAATGGCGGTGATGATAAGGTTGTGGTTTCGAAGAAAGTGTTGAAAGAGAAGGAAACGAGGAATGAAGATGGGTCTTGCATAAATTGTTTGCGGTTCGCCGATACGTGGTCTTTGTTGGTTAATGGTTTTGTTCAGGCATTTCCTAGCCCTTTTAAAACGAACAAGAAACGGTTTCAGAAAGCAGGTGACGAGGATAAAGAGTATTTGCATTTGTGCCAAAATGGGTCGAAAGCTAAGGTTGCAGGCGAATTGAAGCAAAGGGAATCAAACGGTCAATCTGTTAAAGGGTATCCAAATGTGAGCGAGAAGGGTAAGGAAGAGAAGCATGTGTCCCTCGAATGCTTTATAGGGTTCATATTTGACCAATTGGCTCAGAATCTACAGAAGTTTGATCAAAGTTTACAGGAAAGAGATACCAAGGACTGTGAAAATAGTTGTTCAACCTCACCTCCAACGCCCTCTCAGTTTGATCATTTGAGGGCAATCATGACTATTTGGGAAGGTCAAAAGGTCTATGTGGATGGTTTTTTGGGAACTTTGAGTTTTGCAAGAGTGGGTGGTGTACCATCAAGCATAGTCGGAGTATCGTCTTCGGTTAATGAAGAGGGTGATGATGGCGTAAGTAATGCACCCACCGACAGCACTGAGGACACAGGGGGTAGTTCACCACAAAAGCTAGCAAGTGGGTTACTCAGCATTCCGCTATCGAATGTAGAGCGTTTGAGATCCACATTATCTACTGTTTCATTGACAGAGCTAATTGAGCTTCTGCCACAACTTGGTCGATCTTCCAAAGACTATCCTGACAAGAAAAAACTATTCTCTGTCCAGGATTTCTTTAGATACACAGAGGCTGAAGGTATGATTTCTCATCTCCTTAGGGAATTGATCCTGTATTGGTTTTATGTTCTGTTCCTGCTTGTTTCAAGGGAAAATGGAATGCGTGTGTATGGAATATTGCTGAGCATACCGCTTGGCAGTGTCGTAGTCTTGTAGATGAGTAACATTTATTTTGTTTATTTCAAAGTTCACACAATATCAGCTGAATGGAGCTGATATATCTATCTGTGCTTATGGATGTGCTTCACTGGAAGAGGAGATCTTGTTTAACTAACAGAACAGTTAGTAGATGCAATTGTTATTTTTTTACCCTCCAGGTAGGGTAGAAAGAAAGAAAAGTGAAAAGCAGAGTTTGCACAAAACTGTGAGTCTTTCTGTATCTTTCATCCGAAATATTGCTCTTATTTACACCGTCACATTCTTATAGGGAGAAGATTCTTTGAGGAACTGGACAGAGATGGTGATGGTCAAGTGAATTTAGAAGATCTTGAAATGGCATTGAGAAAAAGAAAATTGCCTCGGAGATATGCCCGGGAATTCATGCGGCGTGCTAGAAGTCACTTGTTCTCAAAATCATTTGGTTGGAAACAATTTTTGTCCTTGATGGAACAGAAGGAACCAACAATTCTGCGTGCTTACACTTCTCTGTGTTTAAGCAAGTCTGGGACCCTGCAAAAGAGCGAAATACTGGCATCACTTAAAAATGCTGGACTTCCTGCAAATGAAGATAATGCTGTTGCTATGATGCGATTTCTGAACGCAGACACAGAAGAATCAATTTCTTATGGGCATTTTCGTAATTTTATGCTTTTGTTACCTTCTGATCGACTTCAAGATGATCCCAGGTAAGATGTTTGTGTTCATTTGTTCAGAGCTATTACATATGGTTTGTGCAAGCTCATTTACATCATTTACTGTAAGCTTGGCTTCATTTGATCAGAATGAAATTTTCTAGATTATGTCTAACTGATGCTGGCTTCTTCTTCTTCTTCGAATTCATACAGGAATATATGGTTTGAAGCGGCAACTGTTGTTGCCGTTGCACCACCTGTGGTAATACCTGCTGGAAGTGTTTTAAGATCTGCATTGGCTGGGGGTCTTTCATGTGCACTCTCTTGTTCTCTTATGCACCCTGTTGATACAATAAAGGTAAACGATTCAGTGTAATTTGGTGCACTTGTTTGTCTCTAATGCTACTAGAACAATGATCAGTTACAGAAACATATGATCAAATACTGCATGGCTTTTCCACTTAAGTTGGCATCCTCTTTCTGTCAGTATCTTGCCTTTTGCTTATAAGAGCCTTGTATTAGACTGTCAAGAGGTGGAAAAAAGAGGACTTAAGAAAATATAATTCAGATAATTAAATATTGTAGCACATAGATGCAAAGTTAAATTGGGAGATGTTATCTTAATTTACTTTTGTTCATCCTTATATATATGTGTGGTTTTCCATTATTGCTGATGTGAGTTCTGCTCGTGATTGTTTTCATGATCTGTTGTGTTGATGGTCTCTTAGACTCGGGTGCAAGCTTCCACGTTGACCTTCCCAGAAATAATTTCAAAGCTTCCACAAATAGGAGTTCGAGGATTGTATAGGGGTTCAATTCCTGCAATTTGGGGACAGTTTTCAAGGTTGTTATTTTTTTTCTCTTCCATACTTGTACTGAGTAGCAACTACTTATTTACTTGCTCACCTTTTCTCTATTGACATTTCAGCCATGGCCTGCGAACTGGGATATTTGAAGCTTCCAAACTTGTGCTAATAAATGTTGCCCCTAATCTCCCAGATATACAGGTGATGCTTATCGTTATGCCACTGGAGTTGTTAATTCTTTTCCATTTAGAAGTACTAAATCTTGTACATCTTGGTCTTCCCAGATCTCTTGAATGGTTTTTAAAAGCATGTTTGAAGTGGAAGTGATAACTTAGAGCAAGCCATTCCTTTATATTGGGGGATGGCAATACTATTAGCTTCTCCTAATGCATGAGACTTTCAATAATATTAGTGTTTTGTCATAGTACTCAGTTCAGCTTTATAGTTTTCAACTCTGCTCTTGTTGCTGTTATTTCTACTGATCAAAACAATTCAGTTGCTGCTGCCACTCACCTAGTGTTTCTTTCCACTAAATCTACATAGGGTGCTAAAACCTTTGTATTTAATTCATGCATCTTGCTCATCAGTCATTGCAAGTCTTCTTTTTTGAAAGAAAATGGATAGGAAGTGCAGCATATATATTTATTAGTTCATGACTAGGCTATTTTCACGTCTTGGAATCTATTGTATAATATCAAGCTCAAATGTTGTTCCTATGCTAAAGGAGATGGCTAGACAGGTGGTGCATAAATTGAATATGATAAGGCCTTCACCTGCAATTTTATTAGGACATGCTATTCTGAAACAGCTATTCCAACTCTCATCTGAAAAAACTGTTAACCTGTGTTGGGATGTTATACAGGTTCAATCTGTGGCATCATTCTGCAGCACACTTTTGGGGACAGCAGTGCGGATCCCATGTGAGGTATTGAAGCAGCGTTTGCAAGCTGGCATTTTTGATAATGTAGGACAGGCTATTGTTGGTACTTGGCAGCAAGATGGCCTAAAGGGGTTCTTTCGTGGGACTGGTGCCACTCTTTTCCGTGAGGTTCCATTTTATGTTGCTGGCACGTGTCTATATGGTGAATCCAAGAAGGTAAGTATATTTTTGTGCTTAAATATTAATCTACTTTTTGGTTTTCTGTGTAAAAGATTAAATGTGCAGTTTTCAATTCTCTGTGCATGTCAACCAGAGACTGATACTTTTCTTCTTGTAGTCCACTGAATCATGAAAAACAATTACAACAGTAGAAGGGCATTTTTTATTGCAATATTTGATTCCATGGGGGATTGGTGTTTTTTGCTTACTTTCCTAAAATGGATTTTATTTTCAAGATGATTCATAGTAATATCATTTCTGTTGGGGTTTGTACAACTGCAATGCTAGGAATTGGTTGTTTAGATTATATTAGTGTGTGAACACGATGTCAATGATCACAGAATGGGAAGCACATCTAGTTTCATTACTAAAAATATATTATATAGAAGCCTAAAGAGTTGTACAAAGTAAAGAAGTTATGACTACAGAAGGAAGGGGAAAGGAAGTACTGCAATAAGTTGTCCAAAACATGCCAGTAGATGAATAATTTGACTGCAAACAATGATGCATAGATTCAAGAACTATTTGTTTAAGCTTTACTTGATCCTACCACTGCCTCTAGATGCATTTGAGATATGCGACTGACTTGTGTTTTTCTTTCTATAAAAACATAATGTTTTCTTTTGCCATGTTTTCCTTTAAATTATTGTTTTCCATATAATGTGTAATTGGCATGATTCTTCAAGGTTGCTCAACAAATTTTAAGTCGGGAGCTGGAACCCTGGGAAACAATTGTGGTTGGGGCTTTATCTGGAGGCCTAACTGCTGTTATCACTACCCCTTTTGATGTGATGAAAACTAGAATGATGACAGCTCCACCAGGAAGAACTGTGTCGATGTCACTGATAGCTTTGTCAATACTTCGACATGAGGGCCCCCTTGGCTTATTCAAAGGAGCAGTGCCGAGGTTTTTCTGGATTGCTCCCTTAGGCGCCATGAACTTTGCAGGCTATGAGCTAGCAAGGAAAGCCATGGACAAAAATGAGGAGGCAGCCAGCGACCAGCTGTCTCAGAAAAAGCTGACTAGTTCTGGGTAGATGTAAAGGCCTTTCTGAAGCAAGAACCCGATTAACCACAGCCTCCAGGTTTTAGTTTGGTAAATGCTGCTGGAATTTTTTTTGTTCTTTCTGAATTTTCAGCAACAGATGCATCAGATTTTATCCGTCGACAAGCCCTTTTGTTTTCCTTTTCTTTTCAGGTTTAGACCGTCTTATTTCAGGATTTCTTGTTCAAGAATTTTCAAGTTTTGCCAAGAATGACAGTTGATCTTTTTTTGCAGTGATCATGTATTTTGTTCCCAAATTTTATATTGTACATTTTATGTGCAACAGATGCATCAAATTTCATCGATCGACTCCTTTTCTTTTCAGGTTAAGACTTCTTATTTCAGGATTTTCAAGAATGGCAGTTGATCTTTTTTTGCGGTGATCTTGTATTTTGTTGCCAAATTTTATATTGTACATTTTATGCGAAGTTATTTTGTTCTTTCCTTAATCTGAATCTTACTGCATTCAATGACTCATTTACCAGGTTGGCTTTCGATTTAAATTGAAATCATAGAAAGCATAGAACGTTCATGAGTTGTCCAACTAAATTAGGCAATGTTGAAGCTTGCACTCCATAATGTTACGAGTCAAGATATTTCAAAATCTATTATTTCCTAGTCGGATTTTAGATGGACCATCTAAATTTAGAAAACTACACATTGAATAACGAGCGTGATAACGTTAGCATAACACCACATCTATCTCAAAGATAATGATTTTTTTTTCAATAGATGCACGGTGACACTAAAGTTAGGAATGAACTTAGCTTTTTTAGTTTTTAATGTTTCAATTAATTTAATCTAAAACAAAAAAAATCAAATCTGATCTTTTTTTTTTTTTTTTGGTTTTTGAGTTCAGTTTAACGATGAAAATAAATTTTTGTTTAAACAAACCATTAACTTCATGATCCATAATAGAAATATAAGTCATTTAGCAAATAAAAATAGCATAATTGATGTTACTAAATAAAAAAAACATGGTATTAATTATTAAGATCTTTCAACCATAATAAATATACAAACATAATAGAAATATAATTCATTTAGCAAATAAAAATAGCATAATTGATGTTACTAAATAAAAAAAACATGGTATTAATTATTAAGATCTTTCAACCATAATAAATATACAAACATAATAGAAATATAATTCATTTAGCAAATAAAAATAGCATAATTGATGTTACTAAATAAAAAAAAACATGGTATTAATTATTAAGATCTTTCAACCATAATAAATATACAAACCAATGTTTTGTTAACTTTCCATTCTTGACGTTGTCTGTTAAATAAAAAAAAAAAAAAAAACACCCATTAAGCCAAATAACCTATCAAGTTATTCAAGCTTGAAAAAATTCATATATCAAGCAAATATAAATTGGAACTTATTCATGTCACTTAAGATACCATCAAATCATATGTCTATAATAAAGTTAAAAGTGTTGAGTTTTTCTTATAAAACAATTGAAAAAAATGGTTTTCAATTTAAATCAAACCAAAAATTTCAAACACAGAACCAAATCCTAAAAAAAAAAAAATAAAAAAAATAATAATAAAAAAATATAATTCAATTTCATGTTAAAAAATTTAAGTTCAAAATCGAACTAAAATATCCATTTCAGTTTGACTTTTTTTATTTAAACTGGAAATTGCTCATCCCTAAGTACAAAGTTGTGAGACCTAAATCAATTAAGATCACAATAGAATGATATGTAAAAAACCCAAGGGATGGGCTGGTCAAGGAGGTTTGCTCCTCCAGTGACTTCGTGAGTTCGAACATTAAAGCGGTTATTTGGAGAAATTTATTTTCCTAAATGCATCAAACTGATGTAAAAAATATATTCTTAAAAATATTTAAAAAGAAAATTTAATTTTGATTGATATATAATTTAAGACTGTCAATGGAGTGAATTCAAACTACATCAGAGTATATGTAGATCCGACTTTTTAATAAACAAATCAAATTGAATTTTATAAATTAGAATTCGAGTTTTTTAATTGTCGATTTGAATCCTAATAGATTTCGATTTGAATTCGAATAAACATCAGATTTATTATTCAAATTTTTCAAATAAAAAATATTAACTATATTTAAAATCATGCTTTGATGTAAAAGAGTTTTAAACACTGCATGTATAAGAAAACATATTATGATAATATTTAATATATTAATTTAAAAAGAAATACAAATGTTTGACCATTAAAAGAAATCAAATAATTTAATAAAAATTTATATCAAAGATTAAAATTAATTTAAACTAGGTCATAACTATAAAAAAGCTAGAGAAAATAATAAAAAAAATCTACTCTAGGTAAAAATTGATTGCCATGAATACAAATCCCAGTGTTTTATAAAAAATAAGTGTAAAATGGATAAAAATTCAGATTGGATCGAGACATTTATAAATTAGAAACACAAGTATAATACTAGTAATAATATTAATTAATATTTTTCATATGTCTATACATATATTTTTTCATAATATTAATTTGAGACTTGAAAATAACGATTTTTCTTTTTTAATATAATTGTTTGAAAGAATATCCATAAAGGGCAAAAAAAAACAGAATGTTAACTTTTTTATGTGTGTAGATCCAGCCCACCTTACACAACAAAGCCCACAATCTGCAAATTCAGGCCCTTATCAAAGTGAAAAAATGAGGGAAAGACGCAGCCGTTTTTAGCTGAAGCTCAGAAATCAAATTCGAATATCGGGTCAACCTTGAAATCAAAATCGCTAACTCCCAGCCACAAGATCCTCTCCTTACCTATCGCTGCTCTCCGTCTTCTCACCTGCGATCTGAGGTCAGTCTCTGATAGCGTATTCTCTATATTTTTCACCACTTGTATGTTTGCTTCATAAAGCTTAAATCTGTACACAATCACTGCCACAACAGTGGTAATTCTCGTAATAATTTTAGCATTTGTACCCTATAATTGACAATTAACTAGCAGTTATGCGTCCTTTTGTGTCCAGCAGCCAAAAAAAAAAGAAAAAAAAAGATGGGTTTTTAATAATATGTGAGAATTTATTGATTCAGAACTGAATTGGGTTTCGTTTGTGGCAGTTTCAATGATTTACACAGCGATTGATAACTTTTACTTAACTGATGATGAGCTACAAAACACTCCGTCAAGGAAAGATGGAATCGACGAAGCTACAGAAACAACTCTTAGGATCTATGGCTGTGATCTTATCCAAGAGAGCGGCATTTTACTCAAATTGTATTCTTTTTTTTCTTTGCTTAATTATGTATATACTAGTATTTGATCGATGGTTTTTTTTTGTTGAAACCTTTTATTTATGCTGGTTCTATCTGTTTCTTTTTTCCTATTTTTCTACTTACAGACCTCAAGCTGTGATGGCTACTGGTCAAGTTTTATTCCACCGTTTCTATTGCAAGAAGTCATTTGCCCGCTTCAATGTCAAGGTTAGAAGTGATATTTTCACTTTAGAGTATCAAGTCATGAGAAGTATTTAGAATTCATTGTTTTTAGGATGTGCTAATATCTTGCAGAAAGTTGCGGCTAGTTGTGTATGGCTTGCATCTAAACTAGAGGAAAGCCCTAGGAAATCGAGGCAAGTCATCATTGTTTTCCACAGAATGGAGTGCAGGAGGGAGAACTTACCAATAGATTTTTTGGACCTGAATTCAAAGGTTAGAATCTGGTATCACGTTTATGTTTGCATAAAGATGCTTTAGTATCATTTTCTTCCCTTTGATTCACAGCTAGTTTTAGTCCTACTGGTGTTAGGCAGTAGGCACTTACAATTTCTTTCTGTTTCAAAAGAAGTTTGCAGAGTTGAAGATTGAGTTGAGCAAAACAGAGAGGCATATCTTGAAAGAAATGGGTTTTGTTTGTCATGTTGAGCATCCCCACAAATTCATTTCAAACTACCTAGCCACCCTTGGAACACCTCAAGAATTGAGACAAGAAGCTTGGAACCTAGCTAATGATAGGTACTTCTTTGAATTTAAACATTTTAAATTTATCATCCCACAGTTTTTTAGCAATTCTTTTGTGCTTGGTCTGTACATTCAGCGCAATGATTTTATGTGTCATTACTTTTCCTTAGTAAAAACCAAACAAGTATGCCCAGTTTGACCATCAATTCCAGAACTAAGAATCATTAGAGGCCTAAACAAAACTACCACAGATATAAAATAATTTCCTAGGCAAGTTAAATAGCTTGTCAGATGTCAGTTGTCAGACAACTGCTTTTTTTGCACTTGACTTTTAAATTGTTATCCTGATGTCAATTACCTACAGTATATTTCTTCTTGATCGGATCCGATTGTTTAATTTCCTTTTCCTTTGTAACTCATTTGCTCTTGTCAGTTGTATTAGCTTCTTCAGGCCTGCAATTGTTATGCGTCAGATTGCCAAGTACTTTTTTGGAACTACCTACCATGAAACTTCTACCCCGAGATCCCACCATTTAGAATCCATATGAGGTTGCAGGAAGGGAACTATCAGAGCAAGGGTATAAGCTTTAATAATGACTTAAAAAGCTAGCATGAATTACAATCTTTTTTATGCTTGCTTGGTGGCTCATTACTTGTAGCTATTAGTACAAGACAGAACTGCATAATAAAATAGTTTGAAAAAGAGATCGAACTTCTGTTTTTTTTTTTAACAGATTTTGGTGTTTTTACATGTTTATTATATCCTCTTTTCCTGAGACTTACTAACGTGCTTTCTTGTTGGTCTTTCTCTCCGTCAATCCCCCTTTTCATACAGTTTGCGGACGACCTTGTGCGTTCGTTTCAAGAGTGCGGTTGTGGCTTGTGGGGTTGTGTATGCTGCAGCTCGTAGATTCCAAGTACCTCTTCCTGAAAGTCCACCATGGTGGAAAGCATTCGATGCAGAGAAATCTGGGATTGATGAAGTTTGTAGAGTTTTGGCTCACCTTTATAGCCTTCCTAAGGCACAGTACATATCAGTCTGCAAGGATGGAGATTTTTCTTTTTCTATCAAGTCTTCAGATTCACAATTGCAGCCAGTTCCAAAGGTGGGGCAGTTTTTCTTCTGCTTCATTTGTTTCTAAATTCGAATTTTGTAATTTTTTGGTTTTTAAATGTTTGCAATTGTCATCCTGTCATCAAAGGCAGCGTATTGCCTGATGATGGAGCAATTATTGCTGTTGTTTTCAGAAAACAAAGCAATCTTGTTGTAGTGAGCAGAGAAAGGATGGGAACTGCAAACATTGTAGATATTTGCTGCAAATTCATACCATACAGGGATGCTTCATCATAATATACCAATTGACTGAAATTGTGATCTCATCTGCTCTTTTATAGGAACTTCCACGGAGTAGCCTACCCACGAATAATGATTCAACTGAAGCAAAGGCAGCTCCAAGTGGGAATGTTGAATCTAGTGGATCCAAGGACATAACAAAGGTTGCCTCAGACAAGCTGAAGGAATCTAAGAGGAGTGATGATGAATCCAAGCCTGCTGAGGGAGAGGCAAGAGATGAGCTCATTCCAAGATCGAAGTCTGAGCATAGAACAGAAGCGAGTGGTGACAGGAGCAAGGAGAGAGACAGGGAGAGGGAGAGGGAGAGGGACAGAGAGAGGGATAGAATAAAAGCTCCGGATCGTGATAGGGGCAGAGATTCTGACAGGGAAAGAGAGCGAGATGAAATTGAAAGAGACAGGGATAGGGCTAAGGATCGAGGTCATCATCGTTCAAAGGATAGAGGAAGAGAGTCAGGTTAGCTCCCAAGTTCCTTTTTGTCCAAACGGTACACTAAATTTGGGGCCTGGCTCTTTTCTGTTGGAATTTGGAAACAATTTTAAGTACTCTCGTAACACATTTTCTAATTATATATGATCTTCTAATCTGAATGCAGGACACTCGGAGAAATCAAGGCATCATTCATCGCGAGGTGTGTATTTTAACTTTTCTTCTGAGGTTCATCTTCTTTTTTTATTTCCTTTTCTGTGCATGTGTAAATGGCAGTCCTCTCATCTGCGAAAATTTTGTCTTTTCAGATCGTGACTACTACAGTTCCTCCTATTCATCAAGAGAAAAGGATCGCCATAGGCATCATTCATATGCTTGAACTGGCCATTGGCATGTGCACGCACTTCCTATCACTTCCGAGAGATGTAGCAGCAGCGACCACAAATACAGTACTTGTATATTAACATGGTTGCTGTAACATATTTTGTCTGCATTGTGTTGGGGGGAAAAAAAAGGAAGAAAAAGAGAGCATCATCATGTTTAGTCTGAGAAAAGAAGCAATTTAATCGAGATCTGAAATATCAGAGCTCCTTTTTGCTACTTCCCTCGCCACTATCTGTTCTGTACTTGAATCCGGTCCTTTTTTGTGAATAAATTTTTAACACTGGTTTTTCCTTTCTCATGAGCTTACTATAAGGGGATCATTAAATTGTGGTTAGGCAAGCCTTCCCATTTTAAGAGGAGGGATGCTGATACTGGTCCATCGGCTTAAACATTCTTGTGCTGGAGGGTTCGTGACCCTCTGTACAGGGTAGAGTGTAGATGAGTAATAACTTGCATATACTGGGATATTAAATTGGAGGAGAATAGCATATTGGGTGGCAACATGTGATGTCGCTATTGTGGCAGAAAACATGCTGGTTTATTAAGTGTTGTGTCTGACGGTATCTCATAAAGATACACTTGTTGCATACCAAAGAAGTCATCTCCATCCATTTCTCATACGGCGTGGGGCACTCCCTCTTCTTGCAGATGAGTTGAAAAAAGAATATTCGTTCGTTTTATGGATTAGGCAGAGAATAACCGTGATGGATGCGTTTGCCTCAAGTTAAGAATGACAATAACTTCATTGTCCTTACGACCGAGCAAAAGTAGATCTTTTGAAATATCTAGGGGCCGTTTAGTATCGTTTTGTCGTTGTTGTTGTTTTTTTTTTTTTTCGATATTTGTTTTAAAAAATTAAAAACTTGTTTGGTTGGTTAATTTTTTATTTATTAACAATTACATTTAGTTTTAATTGAATACTTAAAATATTATGACTTATCCTTGAGCTCTCAGGACTCGAAATTTGGGTGGTCTTTACCCGAGCTTGGGGCATCATAAACCTAACCTTGAATCAACATCGTATAATCTCATACTCAATTTTGGCTCGATCTTGGATATTTCTGAATTCGGTTCTGCATCTATTTTCAAACGCTGTTTATATCTAGTCCCAACATGAATTTTGTGCTTTTCTGGACTTGATTTCGAACCTACTTTTGAGCATCACGGATCTAGTCTCAAGTTCACTCCTTGTAGTTAATCTCGGACAGAACCTAAAGTATCCTAGATCCGATGTTGGACCTAACTTTGAGCATCTCGAACTTGATTCTGACACGAACCTTGAGAGTCTTCGTCCTCCACTCGATTAGAATTCAAATTAACTCCCAATTTGACTCTCAAAACATACAGTGATAGTATAAAAAAACTAGTTTGAAAAGTTTTTAGAAAATTGTTTTTCAGTTTTTTAAAGTTTTTTAAATTTTTTGCCGATTTTATTTTTTTGAAAATAAAAAAAACAAATAAGTTATTTTATTTTATTTTTTAAATCTTTGAAAACAAAAGGACAAAAACAATACCGATAATTTAGTTGATGCCAAACAACCAAAGTATGTAATCCAAGTTGAAAACGACTTGATTGCTTGCATTTAAATGGACAACAAACAAATTGGATGTCAAAATAACCGAAGCTCTAATTAATGAGATTGGCCAATTTGGTGAATGAATGCAAGCAAACCACTTAGAATTCTCATAAGAAAACTTAAGAGTATAAATATTATTCACCTAATATCGGTTATCATAACAATGATAACAATTTTGAGAGTGTTGATATTATGTTTCAATAATCTAATATAATGTTTTCCATTTACATAAAAGAGGATTCTATATATTTTCTCATCCCAAATAAATTGTCATACTTGACTTTTTATATATATCAAGAATAACACTAATTGATATGCCGCATTATTATTTTCGTTTTTCGTTTTTTAAATATTTTTTTCCTTTAATGGTTGCTCTCTTATGAAATGGGTTTTTCTTCAGAGTATACCAGAAAAATATATTATAATATACTTTGACTAAACAATAAATTTAGAATAAACAAGAATAGAAAGTTAGGTAATTTCTTTGAACTACAAGAAATATATAATTACCATGATGGTTTTAATTATATATATATATATATATATATATATATTAACGAAGGAAAAAAAACCAGAAAACACATTCATAAACATAATAAACCAAGGAATTTCTTTTTTTTTCTTTTTCTTTTTTTAGAATCAATAAACTCTCTTTCTTCATCGCAATAACAGCAAACCCTCACTCCAAAAATTAACCGTGACAGGTAACCGCAAACTTCAAGTAAAAACTGAAAAGACAGCGAAAGTTGTCTGTCTGTTATTGTTGTTTGCGGTTTCTTGTTACCAATTTTTGTGTTTATCTTATCTTGCTTGTATAGTAAATAAAACCAAGCGGGGACCACGACAGTTAAAGGTGGGGTCAAAACCAATCTGTAATTGTTCCATTTCCAATCGCTCAAGCCTTCATTCTTTGTCAAGATCTGCTCTTTAACGCACATAGACACACACAACCTGCGTTTTGTTCAACTTCTTTGGATAATTTTGTTTGTTTATAGAAAGAGAATGCTTTTTAGTTCACAGAGATCTGAGAATTTCTAATGTAGAGGTATAAATTTTGGAGTTATCTTCTTTGTTTTTGATACATTTGTTGTTTTGGCTCATTTTGCGAGTCTTTATTGTCTTGTGTGCTTCTGAGTTGTTTTAAAATAGGCAAGTTCTAACTGGGGTTTATGTCTTCAGAGAAGATCTTGCAAATTTGACATCTGGGTTGTTTGCCATTTGCTGGTTAGATGCAGTAACTACCTAAAAGTTTCCATCTTTATTGCTCGTGGCTTTATGTTGTTTCCTTATTTCATTTACATGTGTAAACGCATTCTTAATTGCGGTTTATTGTTATGTATTATGATAGATCTAACGTTAAGCATGGGTTTTGCTTTTTTTAAACAGCTTGAAATGTTCTTGTTTATACGTCTTTTGAGGGTTGAATTACTAGCTTTGCGTGGTTTCCTTTTAGCAATTTGGTTATTTACTTCCCTTGTTTTCAATGTGTTGTAATTTTATATGGTGTTTCCTACATTTCTACTGTTACATATGTTATGGACTTTTTAATGTTGTCTTGATAATTTGATCTCATTTTGGATTTGGATTTGTTGTTTTAGCCCGAGCAAGATTGATAATTTAAGCGATGGGGAAACGAGGGAGTTGGTTCTCTGCTTTGAAGAAAGCCCTCGGTTCTTCTAAGGTTTGTTGGAGTTTTGGCCTATGTCTTCAGTATGGCTTTTGTAACTTCTGATTGTTTCGAAATGTTGATAATTGGGTTACTTTTTGGTTTGATTAGAAATCCAAATCAAAGAAGAAATGGTCAGAAAAAGAGAAGAACCCGGATCTAGCTGTTTCTTCATATGAAGAAACCGCTGTATCCTCTCTTTCTCCTCCGCGTCCACTACCTCCTTCTACAGATGTGAAATTATCTGAAGCTGAGAATGAGCAGAGCAAGCATGCGTATTCTGTGGCACTTGCCACTGCTGTGGCAGCGGAGGCAGCTGTTGCGGCCGCCCAGGCTGCTGCAGAGGTTGTTCGGCTTACTACAACGACACGTTACTCAGGAAAATCCAAGGAGGAAATAGCTGCAATCAAGATTCAAACAGCATTTAGAGGATACTTGGTGCGTTTTCAGTGATGTTTACTTGATGACTTTCTATGTTTCTTACGGTTTCTTCATTTTCTTAGCAAAACGATAGACCGTGTACATACAAGTTAGGTGTCCAAACTTCCATGTATGATGGATCTGACTTTTAGGTTCTTTGGCTTTGTTTCTTTATCTTTCTTTTTTCTTTTTTACGTAATCAAAGCTTCTGCTTTTGACGTGGAAATGTAGCCATAATTATTGGAAAACGTAATATGCTTCTTAATGACCCCTTTTCATATTCTTTCTGTGAGGGGTTGCATGTAAGAACTGGTCTTGTTGTTCCGGCTTTCAGGCAAGGAGGGCATTGCGTGCTTTGAGAGGGCTGGTGAGATTGAAGTCATTGATACAAGGACAATCTGTCAAACGGCAAGCGACTGCCACATTACGAGCTATGCAGACTCTTGCTCGTGTGCAGTCTCAGATTCGTGCAAGAAGGATCAGAATGTCAGAGGAGAACGAGGCCCTTCAAAGGCAGCTCCAGCAGAAATGTGACAAAGAACTTGAGAAGTTGAGAGCTGCTGTAAGTGTGATCATATCATACTTCTTTACCTGACTTTTTGGATGTAGCTTTTTCCTATTGCATTTTATGCACTGGTTTCACATAGCATATGTGTCGCTGCTTGCGTTTTACTTTCCTTTTACATGCCCTACCTGTTTGCTATACAAAAGGTTAACCCATTGTTTTCTGGGTTGCATCTGGATGTATGGATTTTTAGGAGAACAACTTTATGTTTTGTTTTTTTGCACGTAGTCTTTTCCCTACTCTGTATCCAAATTTACTTCAGTATTTTGAAAATTAGCTGCCAACTCCCTATCTCGCTGATAAAGTGGCTCATTTAGAGGATTAGTACATTTATCAAGCCATGGCCTTCCTTTTACCAATAACTTGTACATTATACTGCTCTACATTTTCTCAGTTTTGTTTTGGGAGTGTGAAAATTTTGTAATAGTATGTGCATATATATATATATATTGTTTCATATACCTTTCCAACAGATTGGAGGACAATGGGATGATAGCCCACAATCAAAAGAACAAGTTGAAGCCAGCTTACTGCACAAGCAAGAAGCTACCATGAGAAGAGAAAGGGCACTGGCTTATGCATACTCGCATCAGGTGATTTAGTGGTCTTTTAGATGGTCCATCGTTGAAAAACTTCGTACCATAGTTTGTAACTTGACACGTAAGGAGCATGCATTTCTGAGTATCTCAAGCCAAAGAAAGAGAAAAAATCAAGTCAATATTCACAACTAGCACACAGTATCTTGCTTTTGGTGTTTCTACCCTATCTTGCATTTTACGTACCTTTACTGGAAGACATTTAATTAGTCTTGGTTATTTGGGCAATCGTCCCATGAATCAAATATGGATTCAGGAATATTTCAGATTTTTCCAATCATTCCTGAGGCAAAGTTCTGCTGATAAGTTATTGAGCACACTCACACAACATAGAGCCACAAAATAGCTTTTTAGATACCTCATTTAAAGACTCCCAACTTTATAATTGTTTTTGTTACTTTGAAAAATAATGTCACTTTGTTCACAACTTTCCTTTTGCTCAGTGATGGCTCATGTTACTGAAGTTGGTATTTTTTTTAAAGTAAAATGAACAAAGATGATTGCTTTTGCTTTCATAGGGTGTCTTAACACTGGTATTTGTAAAATGGTGATGAGCCAATACAATCAATTTCCTTGAGAAATGGTATTTAAGAATACAGAGCAGATGAGACCCCTTTCTCGCTCTTGTACTGTAAAGTAATAGCATTTGACACAAATATGGAACCAATGTTTCTTTTCATCAACAGTTTCCTTGAGTATATCACTATTGTCTTGAAAGTTTCTACTCTGTACCTACTTGTCCCATAAAACCAAGAGTTTCCATTTTCTACCCATCACAAAAACGTCAAAAGAAAGAAGAGAACAGAGCTTCTATTTTCTTGTGCTAAAAGACTATCTATTTCTCATTCGTGAATCAGACTTCGATTTAAAACTAACGTTGATGATTAATTGTTTGTAAACAGCAAAAATGGAAGCACTCTTCAAAATCAGCAAATGCTACATTTATGGACCCAAACAATCCTCATTGGGGATGGAGTTGGTTAGAGAGGTGGATGGCAGCCCGACCTTGGGAGAGCCGAAGCACAGTAGATAACAATGATCGGGCCTCAGTTAAGAGTACAGCAAGTCGTGCCATGTCTCTTGGAGAAATCAGCAGAGCTTATTCTCGTCGTGATCTTAACCGTGACGATAAACCTTCTCCTGGTGTCCAAAAATCGAGCCGACCTCCCAGTCGTCAATCACCTTCTACTCCCCCTTCTAAGGCACCATCTACATCTTCAGTAACGAGGAAATTAAAGCCACCAAGCCCTAAAGGGAGTGCTTGGGGTGGAGATGAGGACTCCAGGAGCACATTCAGTGTCCAGTCTGAAAGGTATCGGAGACATAGCATCGCAGGGTCATCAGTAAGAGATGATGAGAGTCTTGCAAGTTCACCTTCAGTTCCAAGTTACATGGCATCCACACAGTCACAGTCAGCGAAGGCAAAATCCCGCTTGCCCAGCCCATTAGGGATAGAAAATAACGGGACACCAGATAAGACATCGGTGGGTTCTGTAAAGAAGCGGCTTTCATTCTCTGCTTCACCAGCTGGAGCAAGGAGACATTCTGGTCCCCCTAGGATGGAAGCAAGTGCCATTAAAGACATTCAAGTGCACACAGAAGAGAAAATGAGCAATGGAGTAAGCAGCAGGTAGTGCAGGAGACACGAAAGAAATTTCATTTTAGGTATTAGTGAAAAGAAAAAATCAGAAAGATATAAACATGGGTTCAGATTTTCGCCCATTCTCTTCTTCAGCAACTACTCTTGTGAAACACGTGAAGAGAGGGAATAAATGCGTTGTTGTTATGATTCTTGTTCTTGTTGTCCTTGTGTTCACCATTAACACCTTATTCTTACAAACAATATACATTTATTAGGGATTTGTCATTTGTTACATGCAACAAGGTTGTTTCTGGGGATGTTAACAGTTTGATTTGTTTAGTAGTAGTCTTATCTCATCGAAACAACTTCACCACTCTTCATCTTCGCTTCTCCAGTTAACTTGGTTTGTAATGTTGTGATGGAAAAACTTGGTGTACTGTGTTCATAATCAGATTTTTTATCATTTGCTCCGGTAGATGTGCCTGTAAATATGCAGATGTAATTGTACAAACTTTCTCCACTGAGAATGGGAAACTATGATCACCATTCAAATCTTTGGGTAGTAATCGATGTTCCAATTTTCTGTGCACATTCTGTTTTACTGTAAGCTGAAGTGTAGAAATTGAAGGATCTTATAGCATAAACCAGATGCTTAAACAAGTGATAAGCAGATGGTTAATTACACATTTTAATCGTCATCATCAACAAGAACTGCAGCAACGAAGCTCTCCTTGCTACTGAACAGTGAGGTTCCTACACAATGAATTATCTTGGGGCCTCGGCTTTTGTAGCAAATGGCTACGAAAGAGACAAGAACACCGCACCTTGCAGCAACTCGCAGTTTCTGGTAGTTCGAAAGAAAACCTATACAACTTATCAGCAGTCAACAGCAGCAAGCAGCGGGAATACTGAAGAAAGATCAGAAAGCAGATCCGCCATCCTTTGTCTTGCCAAGCATCACATCTTTAGCCTCATTGATTTTTGAAGCAAGGTAGTGGCTACCGCCCGCATCAGGGTGGTTCGCTACCATCACTCTTCTATGTGCTTCCTTCACCTTATCTGCCGCGGCATTTTCTCTGCTCCCCCAAAAAAAAAAAAAAAAAAAATCTTTATAATTTAAATCACTAGAACTTCTCATCTCATTAAATTTTTAATCATAATTTCAAGATAATCTAAGCAAATAATCACTGTAAATCCTCAAATCCATAAAAAATGATTACCTAATGCCAAGAATAAGAGCAGCTTCTCTTCTCGTCATTTTAGGCTGAAAACCTCCATCATAAAATTTGCGCATTCTAGGTTTTGGGGGTCTTGCTTTCAATGATTGCCATGCCTGGATTCCGTATCTCCCTGCTAGCGCAGCTGCTGCTATTGCTAGCCCAGCCAAAAACGGAGTCGCCTGAAAATCATTCCGTGATCATTATTGATTCACATCTAATCTATCGTTATTTTAATACAAAATCATCATATCATCAATCAAATCCCAAGTTATTTTCTAAAATGAAAGGTAATCCATTCAAATTTGCTTACCATTTTTTTTTCAAATTTATATATAAAAGAGAGAGAGAATGAATACTAACACCCGTGAAAGCTGAAGCCTTTGCGTAGAAGAAAAAACAGTGAGTTTCTAGCTGAAGGATTTACAATAGCCAATCATATACTGCCATTTATGGCATAACGGAAGTGCATTTTGGTGATTGCGTGTTTTTATTTAGTTGGGCTACAGGCCTACGGCCCACAAGATCTTAGGGTTGTATTATTTCATTTCTAACTGGACGAAAAAACCCACCAAAACCCTCTCCGTCTTCGTTCGCACTGATACTTGTACTGCTTTCTCCGAGCCTGAAAAGCCACCAAAACCCAAGTGCTGAAGTTGGTCAATTTTCTAAGTAAGTAAAAATTGCATAGCTTTAGGGTTTCTGGGTTGTTTTCTTTTTGAAATTTTCTGTGTTTGTTATAGAAATTTTGGTGATATTTTGGCCAGGGAAAGGAAAGTAATGGGGAAACTGGGAAAGAAAGCAAGGAAGTTTGCAAAGAAGAATTTACAATCGGTGCTTAAAAGGAATAGGAAGGTCAAGTCTTTCTTCAAAAAGAAAACTGCTAAAAGTATGACTAACTTTGTTGTTTGATACTTTCACTGTCTTCGTTGCTTTTGTGGTTGCTTGAGCTTGAATTTGCTGGGTAATTATTGGTTTAGGAGATGAGAGAGGTCAAGTTGAAGACTCGGATGGAGAAAGAGAAGAAATATACAGTGGAAGGTAAATAAAAACTGTTGTAAAATAATGCTGCTGCTATTTGGCGCATTGTTTTGACCATGATATATTAACTTTGTTTTTGTTTTGCCTTTAATATATGATAGAGGGTTTTTCTCAAATAGCTTATGTTGGTTCTTATTGATGTTAGTTTCGCCTGTCTCTGCTTGTTTGCTTATATAGGAGAATGATTTTAAGGATTGTGATGTTTATTGATTTGAATTAGCTCTTTAAAATCTCTTTTTGTACACAGAAACAACGAAGTTAAAAATTTTGAAGACATTTCCCTTGATGTGGTATTTGGTGAAGACGACAGTGATATGGATGGGGATGATTCGGACAGTGATGGATATTTATCTGAGGTTTTGAAATATGTTATGCCTACCTTTTTTTTTTTTTTTACTCGAAACTTAATCTGGCACAGTTCCTCTGCCAGGCTTCCTAACATTGCTAGTTATCGTAAAATTATCAGGATGCAAGCTCTTCCTATAATTGTGAAACTGGAAGTGAGAATCATCTAGAAGGTCAGGATATCATCACCAGTGTCTCTGGTATTTTTTTATTGTTTTTAAATTTTAATTTGCCCTTTTTAGTTATGTTTTTAGTAATATGCATGCAGAGAACAATGGCGATGCTGATTTATCAGTGCAGAACAAGGAAATTCATTTAGAACTGGCAAAAAAAATGAAAAGGCTGAACAGCTTGAAAACCAAGGTGATCACATCATAATCCCCTTTTCTTTTCCTGGAAATATTGTTATTCAAGGATTTTTTATTTATTTGATTTTGCATAATGTTTCCATATAAAGTTTGAACTTCAGTTTGTTGGTTGAGTCTAAAATTTGTGAGTGCTAAAATCTAAGCGTATCATAAACAAATGGTGAAGGGGAATCTCGTTTTTTTCTTTTACCTGGTTCAGGCTTTGACCTCGTGTCAATAATCTGCAATATTTTTTTAGCATTTACATGCTTATCTGACAACCTATGATATTAAGTTTCACTTATTTACTTCTGCACTTCAATTGTCTTCTAGGAGCAGAATCCATTGTTTATGAAATTACTGTCATCATGTAGAGATTCAACTAAGCATTGTCATTTAAAATTTGACAGGATCCAGAATTTGCTAAGTTTTTGGAAAGCAACAAGGAACGTCTTCAGGCATTAAGGGATGAGGAAAATGTAAGCTATTAAGTCTTGATCTCTTTTCTTCCAGGACTATTAATATCTTGAGAAAGTAAATGTGTGGATTTTGTGCTAATTCTAGGCTCCATTGGCTTGTATATCTATCTTATAACTACTTGATATTTTATATATATAGCTGTCATCTATATTAGAACCTCCACATGATCTGTTTTAAGATGAAAAAATTGCTCCCTCCATCAAAGGTCGTGATTTCTAGTCATCGAACCTTATATCCAATCTTGTTTGTGTCTATTGTATCCTTTTTTTTTCCTCCTTTTGAGTTTTAACGATCTCTTTCTTCACAGCAGTATTCAGACGAAGAAGAGATTAGTGAGGATGGCAGGCAGTCTACAAAAGAAATAGGGAAGTTGAGTAGCTCAACTGTCGATTCTTTATGTGAACTGGTCAAGGAGCAGAATAATGTGCCTTCTCTTGTAAGGCTATTAAATGTGTACAGGGCTGCATGCCACTATGGATCTGAATCATCCACCTTTCTTGGGGACAGCTTTCCTTTTAGCAAGATCTTAGAATTCATGCTTCATGAGGCTGATAATATATTCCGTAAAATTCTGGGAATATCGTGCTCCAATGAAAGGAAAGAGGCCATCTTGGAACTGAAGAATACTTCCAAGTGGAAAACTTTGAAGCCACTAGTGAAGTCTTACTTGAGAAGCACCCTGTTTCTCCTAAATGAGGTTACTGACTCTCAGATATTGGCCTTTGCCTTAACCAGACTCAGAGCTTCTATAGTATTTTTTGCTGCTTTTCCACCTTTATTGCAGAGACTCATCAAGGTATATTCATCAGAGAATGTTATAAATTTGTAGGTGATGCAACAAAGAAACCAAAATAACAATAATTTTTCGGAGGATTGAGATGCATCTTAACATAACATTTGATAGTAGTGCCTTCATTCCATGTCTAATTTCTGTTTTACCAGGGCCTGCACAAGTAATGCACAGTTTTGCTTTATATTGGATATTAAGGTCATGCAACTCTCAGGAATTTCAGAGCTTTGCAATCAGTACTTATTATGAATTCATTTGGTGTTTTATGTAAATCTCATGCTGTAAGCGGTTGAGCCTTAACAAGACTTTGAATTGGATGCAGATATCGGTTAATTTATGGGTAACAGGCAAAGGAACTCTATCAGCACAATCATTTCTCATCATCAAAGGCGTGGCTGTTGTGTTTAACTCAGATTGCTTTGACACCTGCATGGTTAAAGCATACAAGGCTTTTATTGATCACTGCAAGTTTATGGAGCCAGGTCTGTTTAAGCACCAACAATTTCTGAAAAGTTCTTTCGCTGAGCTATGCTTGCAAGATGTGCAGAAAGCTAACACCAAGGCAATGGTTTCTATCCAGCAACTTGCCAAGATATTGCAGCTTGGTCTACGAACTAAGAAGGTATTCACTCAAAAAGCTATACTGGTACCTTGTTTTGTTTGATTTGGACATCATTTTACATCTGTCAGTGCGTAGCTGATTTTCATATTTATTTTGCAACTTTTAAAGAGTGAATTGATTTGAATTCTGTGTTGAATTATTGCTTATATGCAGGAAGCAGTAAAGAAGATATGCAGCTGGCAATATGCTAACTGTGTTGATCTCTGGGTTGCATTTATTTCTGTAAATATACGTGATTATGATCTGCAGCCTCTGCTTTATACAATAATTCAGATCATAAATGGAGTAGCTGTCCTGTTTCCAGGACCAAGATACATGCCTTTAAGAGTTAAATGCGTCCAATGGTTGAATACTCTCTCTGGATCTAGTGGAGTTTTCATTCCAATTACATCATTAGTGCTGGATATTTTGGAATATAAAATAGGCAAGGAGAGTTGGAAACCTGGAAAGGACTTCAGCTTTTCATCTGCAGTTAAGGTCAGTACAACATTTTACTTATCCTGATCTGAGGGTTTTATGTGGCTTCCGTGGCAACATTATTTAGTTCGGTGATATTTTTTTTAACCTTTTATACTTGATCTCTTTTAGTGTCAATTACTTGGTTTCACCTGTCAACTCCTTGGCATCAAGCATACTGCATACTTGGTAAAGCTAACAATGTTTGTTTCCTCTGCAGTTGCCAAAGCATTGGCTTAAATCTCGAAACTTCCAGGACGAGTGTGTTTTTTCAGCCATTGAGCTGTTGGCAGTGCACTTTGCTCAGTGGAGCCATCACATATCATTTCCTGATCTTGCAACTATTCCACTCATTTATTTGAGGAAATTCCATGAGAGGACTACTATTGATAGTTTACGGCGTGTGGTGAAGCGTTTTATTGATCAGGTACAGGATTTCTTATTCAAAGAGCAGGGTGCTAGATTGTATAATATTTAAGACAGTTTAAACACACTAAAATCTACTTTTGAGTTTCATTCCGGAAATGGTTCGTAGGAATATGGTTCTTATTATGACAGGATAATAATTGTGTATTATAGACATTTTTCTTGGCCTGGTACTACCGGGCTGGTAGAGAGACCTCTTTGAAACCTAGCCAACAAATACCATGGGCTCTTAGTGGATGACCAATGCCAGTCAAACTTTCAGACTTATATTGAGCTTGTAGAGGCATTCCTGCCTGGCTATTTGGTTCTCTTAAGTTCTGAATATCCAGACCTTACTGGAATGCAAGATCCAAGTTGTAAAGCATTTAGCATAGTCGTAGTTTATATTACATGTCGGCATAATTGCCCTGAAAGCTCTAGACTGTAATTGCAATCGTTTTGGTGGTCTACATGGAGAATTAACCCAACTTTGGATGCTTTCAGCATCTTGTTAGTGTGGCACTGGAAAATTTCTGCATTTTGATTATGCTAGTTCTTGTCTCTCTTTTCTCTTTTTCATAAATTTAACCATAGTCGTCGCTATCCAGCAGTGTCTTTTTACTGTTAACAATGTGGATGTGCAGGATGTATAGGGATCCTTTTTTTTTTTTTTTTTAAATGATGTATGGTGATTCTTGCAAGGATGTATGATTCACATAACATTGCTTCTCGTGCTTGCATTTAACTGCAGGTAGAGCAGAACATGGAGTTTGTGCGGAAGAAGAGGGATGAGGTTGCTTTTTCACCAAATGATCAGCAATCTGTTGAAT